TACCCCCACCTACGCAGCCCCAAACAGTTTTTTTAGAAACTATCAGCCAACGTTCTAGATAACTATAGGTAAGTAACTTAGAGATTTTAGCTACTCTTTTCAGAAAAAAAAAAAAACCATTGACGTGAGGTCCAGTAAAGAAATAATTGATAAGGAACAAGGTGAGATAAGAATTAATTTCAGGTTTGTTTCACTTCCCATAATTTCTCTCAACTCAGACCAACTGATGCTACTCTTTGTCTTGGCTCGTCATCTCAACAAAAGGAGTTACTAATCCAACCGCAATTTACAAATTCTTCGCAGCGCACACTGATGTAACTTTCTGGAGACATATAGATTTCAAATGTACTTTCTTCACTCTTCTGGTCCAATTATTGCTTTATTCATAACTCCAATAAACCGCAGGTTGCGGGCTAACTTCAAGCACCTTCAATACCTTTGAAGGGTTACTTTGGTAATTCAGAACAAAATTAAAGACGATGTACCTTAGACGTGTTATCAGTCGAAACTGTAATGGAAATGTTTTCCTTAGTTTTCACTTTCTTTCCATCTTTATGTATTGCTTCCTGAAACAACTCAGCGACCCTTTCTTTCAGCACAGTGCACTGAATTTCCAAATGTTCGGTCCTTTTCACTTGAGCTTTGAAGCTCTGTTCAGCTTGCAGCAGTTTATGATGTAGCGATGAGGCTTGCTGAAATTTAAATCACTCAACCAATCAATCAACCACTTCATGTCTGGATAACATTTATAGAGTGATCTCTAAATTATTGCCTGGAACAATCCACAATCTGGCTTGCTTTATTGTGAGACGCATGTGAGAGCAATTTTCAAATGGTTTTTGAAAGTTATTCAAAATCGCATTGGTTTTACGCTACTTCGCTTTGTGATTAGTTAAGAAAACTAGTGCCAGTCTCCATACAAGCCAGATAAAGTTAAGACAAATCACACCCGCCGAGGCAAATCGCACTTTCCGGCGATACATGGGATCTACATTTATCTAATAGTGCCTTGAAATACAAGCCTTTGATCGTATCAGTTGTTTTGGTTAACATAAAACAGACACGTGTACCCACCTCATAAAAGCTGTCTTCGGTTTGACAAGTGGTGTCTGTAAACTCCCTCTTTCTTTCAACTTTTTCGTTTGTTTTGTTTATGATCTCGTTTTCCAAATCCTTAACTCTTTCTTGCATTGTTTTACATCTACTCTGCAATGAATCTGCTCGGTGTGTCTGACTTTCAAG